AAACGCGGCTGTGGAAACGCGGCTGCGGCACCGCGGCTATTTTTTGATCGGACGGTGCTCCATACAACACCAGCGAACAGTCGACTCCCTCGACTACCCGACACCATTAACGAAGCCTGTGTAGCCGTGCTGCCCGGTGAGCTCGCGTCCTCGTCGTCGTGCATCGTGCTGATTTGACTTTGACAGACGGTCGCAGGGAGCCAACTCGTACCCCTGCCCGACGTTACCTCCCCTCGACTCACAACGCACAACGACGGACACGATGTCCTCGCCGTTGTCCTCGGCGAGTCATTGCCGTCGCTGTCGACTCCCGCATCTGACCCCGCTCCAGACCCCACCAATCACCTTGCCGGCGTGCCGACACGACGCCGTTCATGTCCCTTTTTCCGCCGCAGCGTAGACGCGAGGGGCCTGTCCTATTTCGTGGTGTGTTGTCCGACTCCCACGCTAGTGAGTGTACTAACGCTGCCCCGGTGTAGAATGGCCTTCGCGGCACTCTGCGAAAGAATGAAGGCGTGGCACGCACGCGCCGTGGATGACCAGCGCGACCGAAGGGGTCTACTCCTCGCGTGTGAGGGGCCCAGTCAGTAAGTCCGCGAATTTGTGCTGGACCTCTACCAGTTACCGTCGTAACGGACAAATGCTGACTGACCGCTTGAAAGGTGATCTCTTTGTGCAATCGCGATCGCCGGACGCGCGCGTGCGTCCGCTTCCACGTCGAACGACGCGTTGAGGGTGAGTACACCCCTCTCAAGTTTACTAGGAACTCGTCGGAATTGCGGTTTGAGAACTCGCGCGGTACGCTTGTTCGTAAACCTCTGTGCAGACGCGTGCGGCTGACCCTTTGTCAGGTGCTATATGCGTGGACCCCCGAACCGCCGGAGGCACGCGCGGGCTGACTCGGTGAGCAATACGACGAGGGTGGGGTACCACCATCCCATTTCCTCCAATGCTGACCCCTTTGTCAGCTGCCTAGTCTCGGCCCCGACACGACGCATTTCGTGGCGATCGACGCGACGGAAGAGGCGTGCTGTACCCCCGTCACCGCAATCTGAACGTTAAGCAAGCCAGCTCATAACCAACCCGGACCCCTCGGCACTGCGTTACTCGTTACACTGGCGAGATATCGAGGGTTTGACCTTCGTACGTAGCCCGATTCCGATGAAGATCCCATGAAGACACACTGACGAGTTTTTAGGCGAATTTTCGCTGACCCCGAGCCGCCGGAGGCTCGCGCGGGGTCCCTCGGTGAAGGTTGCGACGAGGGTGGGGCACCCTCCCAACGCCGAGAGGACCCCTTGACCTCTTGTTTAAGGTACTTCATGCCGACCGCGAGCCGCTGGAGGCCCGCGCGGGCTCCCCAGGTGACGAGTGCGATGCGTCTAGGGAGGGACATAATGCCTCACGAGGGTCTTTCGATCGACCGCGGGACGAATTTTGCATGCATTGGTACGTCTCCGTTCTCTTTCTCGCCTGAACATCGCTGATAATGCCCTAACGGTGTGCGTAGGACCGTTGGCACTGTCATTGCAGACGCCCCTCAGACTGCCGGGTGCATGCGTGGTGTCACACGGCGAGCTTTTCGACGAGGGTGGAGTGCCCTCCCGTCCGCTTGCTCTTACTCGACGACTGACGCCTTTTTAGGGAAAAAATCGCTGACATCGAACCGCCGGAGGCGCGCGTGGGCTCCCCTAGTGAGATATGCGTCGAGGCTGAGTTACCCTCCCTCTTCTCACTCTGACCTTGTCCAGAACGCAGGCGGGGAGATTTCGAATGTGGTGGTACGTCGCCGCTGTTCTTTCTTGTTTCACCGTCGCTGACAATGCTGTGGATATGAACATAGGATGCTTTTGAACACCGTCTCGGCCGCCGCCAGGCCGCTGGAGGCACGCCTGCACACACTGGGCAACGAATGCGAAGAGGGTGGGGCACCCTCGCTGACGACGTCGAATGCGAGAAGGAGGATGACGACGTCGAGTGCGAGAAGGAGGGTGACGGCGTCTCGAGCGTAGCGGGTGAGCTTGCGCGAGGGACAAGCTGTGAGATCCCGCCTCTCGTCTATAATCGAACGCTAACCTTTGATCAGATGGCTTCTCGACGAGTGCAAACCGCCGGAGGCGCACACGGACACGCTGGGCGAGATATGCGGCCGGATTAGGGGGCCCTACCCTCCTCTTCCCCTTCGAATGAGAGGGCTCCATGACTCCTCAAAGGCCGAGTTCTGGTCGAGCCAGACCCGCCGGAGGCACGCGTAGGTGCATTTCATAAAGAATACGACGAAGGTGAGCTACCCTTCCCTCCCCACCCCTGTCACCCTCTGATATCGCGATCCCTCCCGCCAACGAGCGCATGTTGATCACTCAACAGATGTCTATCTCGCGATTTTGAGCCGCCGGAGGCGCGCGGGCTCTTTAGATGAGTAGTGCGACGAGGGTGGGGACCCTCCCCTCCCCTTCCCGCCCCTCCCGTCAACGTGGGAGACTCCCTGACACCTCGAGGGCGGATTTTGGCTGAGCCAGAGTTGACCCCAAGTCGCCAGGGGCACGCGCGTGCACCCTCGATGAGGGGCGCGAAGAGGGTGAGCTACTCTCGCCCTTCCCTCCCCCTCCTCCTCTCGCCCCACCCCCTCATCCACATCCTCTCCCCGCCCCTTTCCACCCCTTCCTTCATCGTCTTCTGACCTGCTCTCACAACGCGCACCCTCTACACGCGATTCTCAAGCCTGGGAAACCGGGGAGGCGTGCGCGACGTGGGGTGGGGTAGGGATGTGGGGGGAGGGAACGCATAAACCTTCTCGATGTGCCTGCTTTTCGGTGCTGACGATTTTGCAGGTCGACTCTGAACGCGAAGCCGTACGCCTCAGCCGTACGCTGAGGCGATGTCCCTGTCAGCCGACCTCTGTCCCTGTCGGTGTTGCGCTTGCGCGTGGAGGAGGGGGGGAGGAGGGATGTAGGTGGGGGTGGGGAGGTTGGGCACAAAGAAAAAGGGGACCGGGGCGGACTTGAGAAGACGCCAGGAGCGCTGATCAAGAAGATCGAGGACGAAGCGCAGGTGCTCGTCGTGGTGGAGAAGCAGGGGTAGGAGGAGGGCGGCGCGGGGGAGGAGGAGGAGAGGGAAGAGGTGCGCGTTATCGCTCGAGTGCGCCGCCAGTCGTGGCGGTCTCGGCGTCAGCGCGTGGCTTTCGAGGATGTCCCCGAAGTTGGAGGTGAGTGAATCGAGTGTCCACTGGATCTGCGCGCGACGCTGACGCTCCTCTAGGTTATCTCGTGCGACCATGCGAAGGGGAACTCGATGGCGAGCACACGCGAACGGCTCAGTTTTGGCGTGGTTTTCGCGTGGAATCCAGCCGTAAGGATGTGGTTGTGGCGGCGGATTCGGTCCCGTCGAGATGGAGGATGGTCAGAGGAGGGAGGGGGAGGGGATGTGCGACGTGTTGAGCGCGGGTTCCCTTCGAGAGACCGACGCTTTGCAGCCGGTTTCTTGCCGAGTTTGTGGCATTGCTCGACTTCCTCACGCGCTCCCACATCGTTTTTCATCACAAAACACGCTTGTATTCGATATATACGACATGTACACTACCTACGTGCTAGACGGCTAATTCTAATCCCACCCCCTCCGCTTCTGCCCTCCTCAAAGTCGTGTCCCCTCGAGAAACGCCGCGTTGAGTTGTGTCTTGCGACGGGTCTCTCGCGCTCATCCTCGCGACGAAGTTCACGCTCGACAAATGTCGAGTGCTCATGTTGTCGCCCTTCGTCGCCGCCAGTCCGAGGGACCACCGCGCCGCCAATCCGACGCCGGTACGTCGCGGCGCCAGTCGGACGTCGGCACATCGCGTCGGCAATCGGACGGGCCTGCTCGCCTACGCTCGCCACGCCACCCGTTCGGCGTCTCGTACACGAGCACGCTGTAAACATTGCGCATGAACGGCGTGCCGAGCACAATATCGACGCCCCCGCTGTACAGATCCGCGACCGCCTGGATCGCGCCCATGCACGACCCGGTCCCCGCGCCCCGCCCGCCGCCGCCGCCGTCGATCACCATATCGCTCGGGTGCAGGGGCACGGCGATCCGAGGCGAGTCGTTGCTGCCCGACTCCGCGAGCGTGAAGGTGAGGTTGAGCGGCGTCGCGCAGGGGAGGTAGTACACGCCGTCGCTGCCGGGGCCGACGCCGACCGCGCCGTACACGGCGTTGGCGATGGTGGAGGTGGTGAGGATGAGCGGGACGCCGGAGTCGAAGACGGCGCGGAGGGGCGCGCCGAGGAGCGCGGTGTCCGCTGTCAGGTTGTTCTGGTTTGTCCCCGCATCGGGGCCTTGGACGGTAGATGGGTGCGCGTCGATGCCCGCGAGCTGCACCTTGAAGAGGAGCTCCCCAGACTCGTCTGAGGACAAGCCGAGGTAGGAGAGCGAGGACTCGACGTCCTTGCCGTCTGGCAGACGCAGTTGCTCGGACAAAGGATGCGTACCGAGGCCGAGGAGGGAGGGGTAGCGATCGCTCCCCGGGCGCCCCAGCAGCATCCCGATGAACTTGTTTCCCGGAGCACCATCCGCGCCGAAGAGCCCCTTCGTGACCGCATCCCCGCCGTCCTTGGACGCGATCAGCGAGTTGTCCGGCAGCGCGAGACCCAGCACGCCGTTGAACTCGTCCCCAAGAGGCTCGTTCGTGACGTTTGACGCCGCAGCGAGCGCCTGGGCGTTGATCGACGCGGGGCCGATGCGAACCGTGTCTTTGACGACATCGCCGGAGACTTGGCCCTGCAGGTAGGAGATGGAGAAGTCGGCGGAAGTTGTCTGGGCGGAGGATGATGATGAGGGGTCGTAGGTGTGCCCTGAGGACTTGCAAGCGGAGGTCTGGCAGGAAGGGGAGGCGAGCCACAGATCAGAGGAACCGGTGTCGACCTGGACGTAGACCGTCTGAGGAGGCGTGCCGACCTTGAGGGGGACCATGTACGAGCTACGCAGTGTAAGTTTAGAGGGAGTATCATGAAGCAATGAGTACGCACACGTCGTAATTGCCATTCTGCAGGGTGGACATCTCGACGAGATATTCGTTACCGCTGTCGCGTATGCTCATTGCGTCCATGCGCATGTTTGCCATTATCACAATAGTCCTGGGCCGTGCAGGACAAGGGAGGGGGATATGCAAAGGAGAGAGCGCAGGTAACGAGTGAAGGTGGAGAACAACGATGGCGGCCGCGACCTTCAAGGGGACCTCCCTAAGAGAGATCAGTATGTGCGAGGTATTCTGCGTGAGGCACTTACGGGGTAGACGGTCCAGCGGCTGTGAGAGGGAAAGAGCGAGCAGATACACGCCCGTCGTGAGGAAGGAGTGATCTAGCGCGTCGCGCGCGACCCTTGATCATTCTCCCACTCCATTCAATCACCACGCGTCTTGCTCCTCTCCTAGACCGGTAACGCGGTCCCTCTCGCTTTCCTCAGCAAAGAGGGGCTGGTCAGCAGGCTGCTCCTCTCCGATGCCCTCGCCTGTCGCTTGACGTGTCGGGAGTCGGGACCGAGGGTGTGCGCTTGACGGGGGCGAACGGCGCGCGTCATGGGATCCGCGGGCGGGTGGCTGTGCGCTTTCCGCCTGCCTCTGCTCCTGCTCTTATGTGCGTCGCTGGCGCGGGCTGGACGGTGGCGTGGTGTTGTCCGTCCGTCGACCGCCGGCGCCCCTCCTCGCCCCTCCCGCACCCCTCCCTTGGCGGCCGTCACGTCACACGCGGACTTGAACCGCGACGTTTCCTTTTCGAGCGAGAATTCGAGAAACGACGTGTGCCATCGCTGTTGAACGCGATTTTTGACTCCTTTCGATTTCCGTCCTCGGACTGCCCGGGATGTGTACTACCCGTGAATGCAAGACGATTTGTAGCTCGACCAACCGATTCCTGTACTCCCTGATTTTAGGTGCCCTCAGCAACTCTCGAAAGCGTGACATCCGGCTTGTATAAATTGTGCTGGTCGTCGCCGTGGCTCTTTCGACATCGGGTAAGCTGGAGGTGGTAGGGTGTGGTTGGTACTAGTGTTCTACAAGTGCTCGAGTGGCTGACCACCCTCACTCCCCTCCTACCGATTTTACACTCCCTGTCACTCCCGCCTGCCAAGCTAAATCCCTACTAACCATTGGCTACGTTAGTGATCTCGCGACCCGTCGAGGCCAACGGATCCCATCCGTATACGTACATCACACCGGAACACCCGCCCGAGGCACGGTCCAGTCAAGGGCCAGTCCCGCCTCACCGTGGCTTGCCGTCTCGCCGTGATCTCATTCTCCAGTCTCGTACGAGCCGTCAGGATATATATATGAGGGTGCTTTGCACTGACACTAGCTACAAGCTACACTACCTTACTCGTGAGCATGCAAATCTCGAGCGCAAGCAGTGAGTCGAGCGAGAGTGCAGGGAGTAAGGATGGCGAGCAAGACGAGCTTGAGGTTGCAAGCCAGACGAGTATGAGATGAGCATGACGGGCACGATGAGCAGAGCAAGGTTGGATGGTGAGCTGGATGGTGTTGAGAAGATGAGGACACTGTTAAGAAGGCGAGTAGACTGTTGAGCAGACACTGTCAAGAAGACGAGTTGGTGAGCATAGGCCGTCAAAGGACCTGGCGAGACTCGGAGAGTGGCGAGATGTGGAGGATGAGTCGAGACTAGGAAACCCTGACACGCTGATGGGGGAGAAGGTGGCGAGACTCGAATTGAGGGGCTGGCGAGATGAGACGAGCTTGACCAGAAAGCCTTCGAGTTGATGAGACGAGCTCGACGAGATGAGCAAGACAGCAATGAATACAACAAGAAGGCAAGAATTATAACAAGGTATAGAGGAGTCGAGTCAGACAGCGAGAGCGAGAAGTTACATACAAGATGCAAGCTACGAGCTCAAGTAAAGAGAGCAAGAGAGCGCAGGAGCACAGGACGAGCAAAGGGAGCAGAAGTGAGGATGGGAAGTACAGAAACGATAGCTTTGCTCGCAGGGTGTCGAGACATTGCTTCAGGGCTTGGGCGGCGCTCGAGGGACTGAGGGACACTCGAAGAGCTTTGAGGACACTCGGGAGACTTGAGGACGCTTGGGGGGCTTGTGGACTTGTGGAGAACTGACGACAGTTGATTCAGAAACAAGGGGATGGTATTAAGCCGCTCGGCAGCCGGAAATACGTTGCCTCAACGCCTGGGGCGGTCGCACTCGACTTGACAGGGTAAGGCGGAGATGGAAGTGTTGTGGAAGGGGACGAGATGAAAGGGAGAAATCGCCGGGAAGTTTAATCAAGGGCGTCGGTGTTGAAGGCACGTGGAAGGACGGGAGAAGGCGGCGGAAAGTGGCCCTGAAGGCATCGGGAACTGTTGTTGAACGCGTCGGGATACCTCGATGGAGACGACGGGAAGGAAAGCGAAGAAAAGGCTTGAAGCGCTGCTCACCGGACGGCGATACGTTGCTTCAGCACTTGGCGGGGTGCTCTGGAAATTCGCAAACACTCTGGATCATCGTAAGCATCTTCGTAACATTCGAGAAGTAGCCCACGCACCGTATCTACCCGCTCGGCGGACGAAGATTCATTGCTTCAGCGCTTCGAGAGCTTCGTGAGTAAATCAGGCTTGGAGGTGTTCTGGAAATACGGCGAGTCGCGGGAGGGGTCCAGTGAGCAGCAAGAGGGCCTTCGGAGCGACGAGACAGCGGCGCGGAGGCTGGGCCCGCGGCAGCAATGTCTACGGACGGATTGTGAGCGCCGGGAAAGCAGCTGGAAAATGAGCACGCACCTTATTTACCCGCTCGCCGGACGAAATTCTGTTGCTTCCGCGCTTTGAGCGCGTCAAGAGCACGGGCGTCGTACGTGGCGTGGATGAACGAAGAAAGGCCTGAATGGTTTTCAGCCTCTCTAGGAACGCATTCAGAATGCGAACACATACCGTATTAGCCCGCTCAGCGGACGAATTTCTGTATACTCATCGCCTAGGGCACTTGTGCGAATTGAGAGCGCTGTCAATGACAAAGTGCGGCATTCTGTTTCGAGAGGGGCGTCGACGTGGGAGAGCAAGCTTGTGGAAGAGTCAGCAGAGCCGCAATCATCGCACGAGAGAGAACGCACCATGAGCAAATCGGCGCGGCGGCCCCGCGCAGGTCCAGAATTCCACGCGCCGCGGCAGAAAAATGACCGGCAAAAGGTCAGAAGCAAGGGCACGATGTTCTCCGTGGTCGGAGAACGTGGATCGCGGCGTCTGGAGGCGGCGGCGGAAAATGGCGGAATACGGGAGATGAGGGCGGGCGGAGAGCAACAAGTCGTCAATTCGACGCGGGCCGCGGCGCGGAGAACGTGCGCCGAGACCGCCCGCAGACCCTGAGGACCTACCGAATCCGTAACAATAGTCTCCCCAGCACCTACCTTCGTCGTCTATATCGCCCGCTTTTGCTAATTCCTTGACTCGTGGGTTTCTTGCTGTAGTCGAGAGGTGAAGACACGATCCCATTTCATCCGAAGCGCGCGCAGACAGTCATATTCCAGATCCCCACCTCCCCCACTGACGCGCCTCCCGAGAACAATAGCCAGGGCGCTCGTGGGACGGAGATGGCGGTCGGAGACAACAAGCGCCCAGTTAGGCGCCCGGCGCCCGCCCCGTCAACCCGGTCCTCGGCAACTGCCGACCGCGCTTCACCCGCGGGAGCTTTTCGTTTCCCATACATCCACCACGTCCCCCGCGAGTTCGTCCGCGGCGCGCAATTCGTCGCATGTGGGACCTCTCATCCGTCGAGTACGATGCTTAGCTCACCTTAGGATCTCTCGAAAACACGAACAGTGCCTATGACGACGCGCGGTGGGATCCTGAGCCCACGGCACCTATCCCCCATTATAAGGACGAGTTCATGGGATGTAAGCACTTTTGCCAGTGAGAAGAGGTGAGACGCGTACTATGAGAAGTTGAGGGCGAGACCGAGGCCTTGAAAAGCTCAAGATCTTGAGCCTGAACTTGAAGGAGAGGACATACAGATAGATGGAGCATTCGCCTCGATGAGGTGGCGCGTGCTTTGCAAAGCCCCATTGACGAAGATCGGTGAGGGAATGTGCTAATACTACACCCCAGATCTTTAGAACGCGCTTTTACCCTGAGACTGAACTACACGCCGGTCGCATGGGTGAACCCAGCATGTGGCGTCGTATCTCGTGAGTGAAAAGTACAATGTCCGACACCTCTACTGACCAGATAATTATACCCCTGTGTAGAGTTAGTACTATAAACCTAATCATGACGCTTGGAATACGCCTGAATCGGCCCCGCTTCCTGTGCATAACGCCTTTCCCCGCTGCCTCAAGATCCCCCGTCCCGGATGTCCACGTCACCGGCTTCTGCATCACCCGCCGGCTTCTCCATTACTTTTCCCAGCATATCGACATTGATATCCGGCACGAGAAACGTCGTCCGACCTGCGAACTCTACGGATACTTCACCCGTTAGTTCCCCTCCCCCCTCATCTACTTCCGATTTCCGGCTCAATCACACATCCAGGCGCGACGATCTCGGCGCACACTTACGCAATCAACGCGACGGAAGTCTGATGCGCGACGACGGAGGCCGCGCCACGCTCGAGGCCGACTCCTCAACTTGCCTTGGCGAGTTGAGCCGCATACATCGAGCCCACCCCACCCAACGGCACGACATGTAGACAGTGACTCGAACACGTGTCACTACGTGCGCCGCGGGATCTTGGCAGGACCGAGTGAGTAGCCCACGCGCGGACAAGGCGCGCTACTCTGAGAGCGGCTCAAAGCCTGCCGAATGGAGATAGAGCAATGATCTCGCAGAGGTCGACTTTTCCTCCCCGCCCCCTTCCTCCTCGCGCGGTCTCGGCCCTGTGACGCGTCACGCCCATCCTCGTGTACCCTCTGTGCATGCTCTGGCGAGCTCTGCTGAACACCGGACGCGTCGTCGACGATGCAGAACGCCTTGAACGCGCAACGGCTCCCCGCGCAAGAACGGGTTTGCCACACCCGAGCCCCGCCTTCCGGCGGTCCGGGCCCGGCCTTCCCTCGCCGCAGAGGTACGTCTGGAGTATTTTTCGCCGAGATCTCGCTGACATTCGCGCAGGGATAGACGGAAGATCGTGTGCGCGCCGGGCGCGCTCGTTCCCCCAATCTTCCGACTTTTGCTGGGCAGATCTCGGTCGCGGACCGCCGAGGTCTTCTATCGGTGATGGCAGGCTCCGGTCTGGAAGTTTTGCGGAACAAGGG